TACGGCACAACAAAAGCTGCTGAGACCGCCTATTTAAGCGGTTTACGTGGACATCTATTACCCCATAATATTCATGTCATGACGGTTAAACCTGGTATTATCCGAACAAAAATGACTGACGGTGTCGACATTTCCCAATCATTGGCAGCAGAGCCTGAACAAGTTGGGCAGGATACCTTAAATGCCTGTATTAAGCATCGACCTATTGTATATACACCTAGCAAATGGCGCTTTATTATGGGGATTATTAACTGTATTCCAGAGTTTATTTTTAAACGATTAAAATTTTAACCTTCGTGAAGTTGTAGGACGCCGCCAACATGCCAGTTTATCCGTCGTTGCAAGCATTTTGAAATACAATTTAAATGGTAATTAAAGCTCTTGAAAGGTTGTTTAAATAGTGTCTTAAACCGTCTCTCCCCACTTTTCTCCGGCTAGGTCCGTTTCATGCCAGACTTGGCGGCGTCCTACAACTTCAAAAGACTTAAGTAGTCCTAAAGGTTGCTTTACTCAAATTAGGAATTGACGTAAGATGATACATTCTTATCGCGTCTGTAGCTCAGCTGGACAGAGCACTGGACTTCGGATCCAGGTGTCGGGGGTTCGAATCCTCCCAGGCGCACCAGATTTCTTATTTATCTAGTTTTAATTTTTAAGCCCATCGTTCATTTGTTGTAGGACGCCGGTTAGATTGACATGACAGCGCCTAAGAGCGTGTTTTCTCAGATAGTTTGTGGGGGATGGAGAAATCCTACGTTAAAGAATAACACTACGAAGAATCGTACTTAAATATACGTGTAGGACGCCGGTTAGATTGACATGACAGCGCCTCTTAGATTGGCATGCCAAACCTTGCGGCGTCCTAACCTGGATGGATCAGGATAGAGCTGGATGAGGCTGGATGGCGATACTTAACTTGAAAGCTAATAGAGTGTATTAAGATTTATAGAATAAGAGGTGTAGTATGTTTATCTGAAATGTCGATTTACAAGTTATTGCAACGTCGTTTAAATGATTGTTAAAGCCTCTTGCAAACTTGTTTAACAAAATAATAATTATTACTATCGTGACTACTGAATAGTTATTCTGCTCTTCCTTTATCTGCAGCATTCGTAAAATTCATAGCAATTGTATCTTCTTCAGCGATGGCTGTCGCCAACTCTTCGGGAAGAAATAAATCTTTGGTGACATGCAAATTGGTTTTATATAAATGACAGCGGCCTGGCTCTTGTGGTGAACGATCAATAAATTCTGATAGCTCTTTCCCCTCACCAATAAGATCATGTGAGATTTTATTCTGAATGTTTTTATGAACAATAAAGGCGTGGTCTGTACCTACTAACTTTAGTTTTGTTAAACCCTGTTGTTTGAGATTACGCAATTCATTTAATTCTTCAGCATTCATAGGCATCCTCTGTATTGGCTTTATGGTTTCAGCTTCTTGATCAATCAATTGTATCTTAAGTGTCATATCTTCTAGTACGGTCTGTAATACTGGTAAATCACAGGGTTTAGACAATACATCATCAACACCATACAGCTTTAATTGGTAGATATCAATGTTAGATTTTGCACTAAACAGAACAATAGGAAAATAGTCTACTTGCTTGCGGATATTTTGGGTAGCGGTAATGCCATTCATAACTGGCATTTCAAGATCCATCAAGCACATATCATAGTTCTTTTGACTGGCAAGTTTTGCTGCCTCTTGGCCATTAGCAGCAATATCCACGCTATAACCCCATTTTGTCAAGACTGAATCTAAGAGTGTTTGTATCTGCTTATTATCTTCTGCAATCAAAATATTCATTTAGATTCTTTCCAGTTAAGTAGCTATACACAGTGTAGTCTGTCGACCACGGAGAAGATAATAGCATATTATTTAGAGAACTCTGGCCAGCACTATTACAATTTTGAGCTAGTTATAAAAATTGGTTCATTTTATCTTGTAAAGAAACAAATATTTTCAACTCTCTGTCTCCATAGATAAAATAGAAAAAAGTTGATTTTTTATGGATTATTTATCATGACTTAAAAAGTAAGTATTTAAGACTTTCACAAAATAAAATGACATACTTACAATAGTAAACTTGCTTGATATCTCTAAATTCTTTTTGCAATAGATTTCAGATTCATCCATTTTGAGAAGGTCCTGTATCTGAAGTTGTAACAAGTGGACTCAAAGAATTTATATCTATTTCTTCACCTGCAATAAAAGATGCTGGCCATACCTGCGTAAATATTTCTGACGACTCTGACGGAATAGAGATTTCAGCTGATGGCAAAATGCCATCACCATTGGTAGCTTTTTCCCAATCTCTTTCGAACGTTTTTTGAACTATTTGAATGATATGTTCGTTATTAGTTAGGAATCCTAATTCGAGATTGTAATTTAATGATGTCATTGAAGGGTTTTGAGAGCCAGCAAATAATAAGTTACTATCTACGATGTAAGTTTTTGCATGAATATATAGTTTCTTAAGATTGAAAAAATAAATAGCGGCGCCTGCTTTGTATATCTCTCTTGCCAGATTAATAGTTTTCTTGTTGTCCATAGCTATAGAATTAATTAAAATACGAATTTTAACACCTCGGCGCACAGCAGCAATAACTGCGTTAACAATTTCAAAATCTGACAATTCTTCCCAATATATATCCAAGCATCTTTCCGCCTGATTGATAATTTCCTTTAAAATAAATCGAGCATTTCCTTGTATCGTTGCCTGCTTATAAAAATAAAAGCGATACCGACCTTGTTGTGGGTATCTCTCTATCTTCGATTCTGTAGACCCATTGCTCCATACTAATCCAGAAGAGGAATGTAGTAGAGGTAAAATTTTGTACCTATCCGTTGGTAAAAAGCTATTTTCAAATACGCTTTTCGCTTCATTAATTGCGTCAAGATCCTTGATTGCAAAGCCGAAATCTCTAACTAAGGTGCCCGTTATTTTTGAAAAATATAGGTTACCTGTCAGTATGATTAATACTCGCTGTGATAAGTTACTAGCATTCACATCAATTAATAAACACTTTATATGGCTGAAACAAAAATTATTGGACGACCAGTGACTGGCAATCCTACCATTTCCGGGAGCATCTATTAATTGTTGACGAAATTGTAAAAACTCTTTGGTTGATGTTACAAGATTACTAAATTGGTATTCATTAATCTGGCCATTTAAAACAATGCGTATATCTACATTTCTGTTTTTTGCTCGTTTAAGTGCAGATAAGATTTTTTGATCTCCTAATTGAAATATTAAAATATCAACCGTTTCTTGTGCACGATCTATATAAGATATCAACATGTTCTGTTGATCATCAGGTTCAATCCAGGCAGCTTCTATGTCCTTTACCGCTTCTAAAAACATTTTTATTTCTATCCTTTAAGACAAGATTGGAATATTATCAAGAAATATATCGTATTTGATATAATTGAATGGCTATAGCCATTATTTTGGGAGAATGTGTATCCATATACATCTTTAAAACGTATTGATATCGGTTTGGCATGCATAAAATACAGCTTGGGGGTCTGCAGGAAGAGAAAGATAGAAATCACTATTAAGACCTCTTTCTTTCCTTGAGACTAAAATCGCCTTACGTATTGCCAAATAAACAGTCATTGAAAGTGCTATCGCTGGCTCTCCTACCTCTTTAGAAGAAAAGAGCAGATTAGGATTTTCAGGAACATTTTTAGCCCTTTCACGAGGAAATAAATAGGTATTCATCTCTAATGGTATTTCAGTTATAGAAGGAATTTTGTACTCCCAGGTATTCGTTGAATTTAGTCTACCTGTATCTTTTTGAATAGTTAATTTTTCGCATAAGATCGAACCTATACCTTGCACAAAACTTCCTTCGACTTGGCCAATATCAATAGATGGATTTAGACTTCTGCCCATATCATAAACAATATCGGCTCGGATTATTTTTGTTTCGCCTGTTAGTATGTCTACTTCAACTTCGGTACAAGCAGCATTATATGTATAACCTATAAAGTTATCGACAGTCTCAGAAGGCGTGTTTTTATTGGGAATGGAACTTAAGTAAGGGGCCGTCGATATTTCTGACTGATATGGTTTAAAAATAATATTTTTAATATCTGTTTCTCCGCCTTTGAAAGCACCATGGGCTAAACTGGTTAAGCTGATTCTAGCATTCCACGCTAAAGCAATAATATTGCGCCAAATAAGAGTGTTATTGGTTAAGCTTATATGGGCCCAGCCATTGGGGTAATTCCAATAATCTATTCCTTGTCTTTTACTCCATTCCTCTCCATATTTTTTCCTCAAATCATCGACAAATTGTTGAATCTTATTTCTTAAATGTTCACAGGCTTGCCTAACAACTTCCCCATTAAACTGAGTACAGGTAGATGCGCCTGTGCTAGGAGGGTTAGGTATTACATGGGTATTAACAAAGTCGGATTGAAAATTTTCGATGGGTATATTGAGTACAGCGGAAGCAATTTGTGTTACTTTTGTCAACATACCTTGCCCTAGATCAACACCACCATGACGAATAAGAATTGTACCGTCAGGATTATAGACTAAAATTAAGGCTGTTGCTTGCTCTAGAGGGGCCAAATTATAACCAGAACCATATTTGACTGGAATGATTGATAGCCCTCTTTTTTTCCATTTATTTTCTTGATTGAAGGCCTGGATTCGTTGTAAGCGTGATGCATAGTCACTTTTTTCTTTGGTATATTCCCAGACTTCTTCTATATAAGCATACTCTAGTTTTTGTCCTTGAGGTGTGAGTTGACCTGTTTTGTACAAGTTTTGTTTCCGAACTTGCTCTGAGTCTAGATTCAATTTTTCTGCTGCTAAATCAATAGCAAGTTCATAGCCCAACAAAGCTTGAATAATACCAAAGCCCCTAAAGGCAGTATTACTCGCTGTGTTCGTACGGTACATATCTGAAGTCGCGCGATAATTCGAAACGTAATAACTGGTATCTCCACGCAAAAGCATACAGTCTGAGACAACGAAAGAACAATCATAGGTCGCGCCAGCATCTCCGTAGTATTCCATATCAACACCTAATATCGTGCCTTTTTTAGTCTTTCTGGAACAATTAGAAGAAGTCATAGCTAATTGTATTCTGCTTAAAACCGGATGACTTTTACCAATAACTTGCATATCTTTTTCTCTAGGAAGAACTGTCTTTATAGACGTTTTTAAACAGTAGCTCGCTAAAGCAGTTATACAAGTTACTAATACGGATTGTAGTGTCTTTCCACCATAACCACCTCCTACCTGTTTCACTATGATTTCTATCTGGTTTTGTGGAATATTCAACAACCGAGAGACCATTTGTTGACAAAGCAAAGGGCTTTGAGTTGAAGCATATAGTGTTAGTTTGTGAACATCCCAAATAGCAACACAGGATTGCGTTTCCATGTAGAAATGGGCGTGATTAGGGAAGTAAAGTGTATGATCAATAGATATGCAATCTTTATGATCAACTTTTATATTGTCATATGTTAAGTTTCCTGCTTTAAGAGAATCAGCTTTTTTTTCATTTGCCCAATCCATTTGAGATGATGGTCTAATAACTTTCCAGATATGGCTAATCGACTCATTAGAATAAGGATTATCTGGCAAAATAGTATTTGTCTTAATTGCTTCATAAATATCAAGAACTGGCAATACACTGTCAATATCAACATACTGGAGACAATGTTTGTCAATATAGGTAGAAATTTGTTCTGCAGATTCTTGGGTCGTAGCTAAAACTAGTCCTAAAGGCTGACCAACGTATAATATCTTGTCTTCAGCAATAAGTGGTGCTTCATATGCAAAAGGTGTTTCATTACAACCGTTACCTGGCCGGTCGGCAGCTGTAATGATCGTTTTAAATTGACTAAATTTCGTCGATAGAATATTGATAAGATCTTGGCGTTCAATACGTTCTTTATTTTCTGGATTAATGTAGTAAAAATTACAGGCTACCTTAGATGCAATCAATAAAGTCCCGTAAAGGCCAGTAGAAGGAATTTCGGTATCTTGTGTGTAACAAACCTCTCCTTGAGTTTGCTGAAATGCAGAAAGTTTTACAAATGAAGAAGATAAGGGATAATCATAGAGCTTTGTAGAGTGTGATTGTTTACCACCACTAACAGGCCATTGTTCCCATTTATCCTGATAGGAGTTCGCAATATTAGCAGGAATCTGCTGAGGGTTGACCTTGGCCATAGCATCTATAAAACTTCTATAAAAAAAGCTACAGGCTAACCCTAATTTATAGTTATTAGAAAAGCCTTCATCGGGTTGTTCAGAAAAACGATCAGAAAAAGTTCTGATTATTCCCTCTATTTCTTTTCTAAAAACAGGATATACTTTGTCCAATAGATAAAATGATAATTGTTTATCTTTTAAGTAGCCCGCTGTTTTGGGAGTTGGAATAGGAAAAGGCGCAATGTTACCAACGGTCATCTTCCATTGAGTAATGGTATCAAGCCCTATACCGTTACTTAACTCAAAAGAGACAGCTGCATTGACAATAGAGTGTGCATTGACTTTTCTTTGAGCTACTTTATGTGACGAAACAAATCTTTTTTGTTTCGTTAAAGGAACAAGATATTCAATAAGTAAAATATCCTCAACATCAATTAAATGTGTTCGAATTTTTTGAATGAGTGTGTTTATACTATAAGTAACAATTGTATTTTCTGATAAGAGTAGTACCTTTATTTTTGTATCTAGGCAGTCCAGAAGGGTAAGTAAATCTGACGGAAAAATAGTTCCTTGCAAGATATGGTTCAATACAAGCATTGTATTTCCACCAATGCTTGCAGCATTACGGACAACATGTCCCGCCGTCCGCTTACACATATATAATAAGCTTTCTTTTACTGATTCGTGTTCTTTTAAAAAATGAGTACAGTTTAAAAAATCAATTAACTTGCTATAAGTTGAGGAAGCACCTAATGTAAGCTCATTTGGTGTATACAGTAACTGCTGTAATTCAGTTAGTGCTGTAATATTTATCCAGACAGAAGATTTATCATACTCTTTCTCATAGACTCCTCTACTGGTTCCTCCAATAATAAATTGTTTTTTTTGATGGCGGGAAACAACCTGACGTAGCTCAGCTAAATTTGTCACGAAAAAATATTTTTTATCGCCTATATTATAATAAAATGCTTTTTTGTCAGCTGTTATTGAATCTGTATTTATGTTAGGTTTCCAATCCAGATATTCTTGAGGTAGACTAGCATTATATTTAGGATCAATAACTGTAGGTAGATTATCTTGTGGAATCTCAAAATGTTTTCCTTGATCTTTTGCAAATTTTTTCATACCTATTAATAAGCTTCTATAGCCAGTACATCGACATAAATTGCCATCAAAAAGCGTTTCTATTTCTTTATGTGTTAGTGATTCTTGTTTAGCTAGTTGAGCAGTCATTTGCATAACAAACCCTGCTGAACAGTAACCACACTGAGTACCATTATTTTTAGCGACTTCATAGGAAACAGGATTAATGACATCTCTAGTGTTTCCTGTACCTTCAATAGTTGTAATGCAACTGTTATCTAAAGTGCATACAGCTTTCAAACAGGCATTGATAGATTTATGTACTAACTGATTAGCTTCATACTCAGATAGGATAACTGTACATCCTCCACAGCCTCCTTGCCCACAAGGTTTTTTAGTCCCCATGTAGCCTAATGTACGTAGATAATCAACTAGTATTAAATTAGGATCTGGTGTGTTAAGCTCAATCAACCGATTATTTAAATAAAAAGTAATAGATCCTTTGGCATTTTTGCTCATTAGTTTTACCCCTCAAATAAAATATGTTAACGCTTAAACAAATCTACAGCACAGCTGAAAAACAACCCATAGATTACTAGGATACTATTTTTGCTAGAGTTCTAAATATCTTAAAGTCTAAAAATGAAAAAATCTCTCTTAATAAAAAATAACATATGATCAAAGATAGAATGCACCGTGGATGAAAGAGTAATTCTAAATATTTCGCCTTTAAGCAGGGGGAGCTATTCATTTCCCCACCTTGTCATCATTGCACTTAGCAATATTTGCACATGCTTATTATCTTCAGCAATGAGAATGTTTATTTGAGATGCTCCCCTGTAATACTACAGCTACAGATAAAGATCATAGCAAATTCGTGAGCTGATAGAAAGGAATATGAGCTGATTAAGGAAATTTAAATACTTGAAGGTGTAGGTAGTGTCGAAGTCCAAAAGAATATAGGAACAGCTGGTAAAAGCATTAGTACCAATAATAACAAAAAAAATTATATAAAATTAAAAAATGATCCCGTTAGTTTTTCAGAAAGATATCATTAATTTTTGTACGATTATCGGTAATGCTAATTTTATTAGTGGGGTTGTTATTATTTGGTTTCGGAAGAAGGTTTTGAGGCAGCAGAAATAGTATAGAGTTAAAAAAAAGCGAATGATTAGGATAAATTCTGATAAACGATATAGACTAAACAATTATATATTAATATTAGATCTTTATTTGTCAAAGGCTGAGGGGGTAACTGATAATGTCCACCAAAAAAATTATATTTTTAGGAATTCAACTATTACTAGCTAGTTGCTCAACACATGTCGTTCAAGATCAAGAGCACTTTACAACTCATCAAGGCTTACCAACAGGTTTCTGGACAACATTTCAATCTGCCAACAAAAAATTTTCTGAGGCTAAACGTAATATTCCTACACTTATTTGGTTAATGAAAAGGTTACCAAAAGGTGCAGATATTCATAATCATTTGAGTGGAGCAGTTTATTCTGATTATTTATTACAAACAGCCATAAAAAAACAATTGAACTACAATTTAGAAACAAATTTATTTACAACTGAACCGCCTAATCAAAAAAATATTATTTCTAATAGAGATTTAGTTACCCAAATCGAATTTTTAGGTCAATTTAGGGATAATTACAGTTTGCGTGGATTTTTTCATAATTCGACGCTCAGCGGTCGTGATCAATTTTTCAAGACATTCGGTTATTTTAATTCTGCTCAACGCAGTAATAATGACAAATTAATCGAACTCATTCGTCGTAATATTGATCAAAATATTCAGTATGTTGAGTTAATGGCAAATTTGATTCCCAGGGAGGTCCAGACAAAGTTTTTTGACGCATTACCAAATTTTGACATGAATAACATTGATAAAGCTTTTTTAATTTTAGAACCCCTTACGAAAAATAAAGAATTTATCGACCGAATAAAAAAAGATCTTGATTCTCGAGAGATGTATATAGCTAACCATATTGGTTCAAATTATCTTCCTTATTTACAAGGAGAAAATCCTGATTTTGTTATTCGTTATATTTTGCAATTAGGTCGTCTTAGCACATTACGAGATTTTTTTATTGAAGCTGTTATCTGGATGACTGCAGTAAAAGAAGAAACACGTTATGTCGGTATTAATTTAGTACAACCTGAAGATGATCCAAGATCCCTAGAAAATTTTACAAAACAGATGAAGATTCTCGATTATCTTTGGCAACGTTTAGGTAAACCACAAATTACGCTTCATGCTGGTGAGCTTGTTCTTGCTGACTCTCCAGTAGAACCTATGTGGTCACGTATCCAAGATTCTATAGAGATTGGACATGCAAAACGTATTGGTCATGGTATTTCTATTGCTTGGGAAAAAAATTTATTAAGACTTTTAGAAAAAATGGCTAAAGAAAAAATATTAGTTGAAATTTGTCTTAGTAGTAATGAATATATTCTTGGTGTACAGGGAAAAAACCATCCCTTTGACCTGTATCGTACGAAAGGTATTCCGATAAGTCTCAATACAGACGATGAAGGTGTCAATAGAAGCAATTTAACTATGGAATTTGTCAAGGCATTTACTCGCTATGATCTAGATTTAGAAGATCTGTTGACCTTCTCGCGTAATAGTTTAGAGTATTCCTTTTTGCCTGGAGAAAGTTTATATATAAATCATGATTTTACACGTATACGTCCAGAATTTAAAGGCGTTCGATATAAAGCTAATTGGAAGCCGGATCCACAAGCAAAGCAATTGCTAAAAGAGAACCCAAAGTTAAATAGGCAGGTTCGTTACGAACGAGCTGTTTATGATTATTATATTTGGTTAAATAATATTTTTATACAATAATTTGCTGAATAGATAAGACTATTAAAAATTTTAGGCTCTATAATATTTACAGTTTCATCTGTTTTACAATCATTTTTCGTAAGGTTAAAAACGCAGCCTCTGTTAAATTAGCAATCGCGATGGCTTCAAGATGATTCTTTGATAACCAAATACTTACCTGCTGAAAATCAGCTTCGCTCATTTCTATCGTAAGCTCTGGTGAACCAACAATAAACCGTGAGGAAATGCTTTTACCAATCAATGCAATTTCTAAACGTTCTTCCATATTAATAGACCAAAAATTGTAAATCGTACTCTTTAAATAACGTGACACACCTTTTCTATTTGCGTCGGCTATGGAAGCCGAGCCAGAAACAGTATTATGTTTGTTAGCCATTATCGTTCTCCTTGATAGATCGATTGTGGTTAGCTGCGGTCAGTAGCTGTAACTACTGGCTGCAGCGTTTTTTGTCCTAGCAGACAGATTCAATACATATGTAATTCTCAGGCATACAAGTATGATTACGTCATCTAATAACCTCCTTTCTGCAATTGGTATCTCTAGTCAGTTCATAAACCTGATCCAGGTTTTGATCATAAACACTGTCTTTACATAAAACAGGTGCTAGCGGGCCACTATCACGAATAAGTTGATACACATGACCACTACCAGCAGAGCCATTGACGCGCGAATGTATTAATTCTAAATAACCAGTTTTTACTAAACGCTGTACATATTTATATAGATTTTCTTTTGATGCCCCAGACACAACAGCTAAACAATCAATGCGAAATTGTCGTAAAATTCTCATCGTCTGCCAAGCACGGGTTCTTGCTGTTGTATTTTTGTTGAGACAACCATTCTTATTAATCTGTGCTTTCACACGAGGTCCCCAACAAATCCCAAATTAAACCGTCGGCGTCCCCATAACTTTAATGTCACTTCTTCAACCTGATTCGATTTACCTACTCGCTCTATCTTGCTTAACCCCACTGCCATCAACCCAATATTACCATCAGATTCTTTAAACAATAGCTCCAATAAATCATCTGTAACTGTAAGTTCACAACGGGCATCAACAAACATACGAGCATC